ATTTTGGCCTCCTCACATGAATCATAAATGTTTCTAATGGCATGTAATAGAATGCTAGATCCTTTCCAGAAGGTTTTCAATTTGCTTTGTCCAGTTCCATCAGAGGAATCACTATTTATGGCAGCTATAGCTTTATAAAATGCATTTCTTAAATAATAAGACTTGAAAGTAAAAATTCCTTCTTCATCCATGGGCTGCAGAATGGATGTTGTGTTAGCATGCATGAAAACAACATTAATCTCCTTGTATATCTCCATCAGAGCTCTTAGGTGATCAGGTACATTGTCATCGAGCAGTAATATTTTGAAAGGAATGTTTTTTACTGAGTAGTGGGTCTCAACAGTGGGCTTAGAATATTCAGTAGCCATGCTGTAAATAGATTTCCTATCATGCAGACTTTGTTGTTTCATTTATAGAGTAAAAGCAGAGTAGATTTAGCATAATTATTAAGAGCCCTAGGATTTTCAGAATGGTAAATGAGCATTGGCTTCAACTTAAAGTCACCAGCAGCATTAGCCCCTAATAAGAGAGTCAGCTTGTCCTTTGAAGCCAGGCATTGACTTCTCCTCTCTAGCTATGAAAGTCCTAGGTGGCATCTTCTTCCAACAGAAGGCTGTTTTGTCTAGATTGAAAACCTGTTTTTCATTATAGCCACCTTCACCAATTATCTTAGCTAGATCTGGATGACTTGCTGCAGCTTCTTCATTAGAACTTGCTGCTTCACCTTTCACTTTGATGTTGGAGATGACTTCTTTCCTTATATCTCATAAATCAACTTCTGCTAGCTTCAAACATTTTTTCTACAGTTTCCTCACCTCTCTCAGCCTTCATAGAATTGAAGAGAGTTAGAACCTTGCTCTGAATTAGGCTTTGCCTTAAGGCAATCTTGTGGTTGATTTGATCTATCCAGACCACTAAAATTTTCTTCATATCACAATAAAGCTATTTCACTTTCTCATCATTCATGTGTTCACTGGAGCAGAACTTTTAATTTCCTTTAAGAACTTTTCTTTTGCATTCAGAACATGGCTAACTATTTGGCCAAGAGGCATAGTTTTTGGTCTATCATGGCATTTGTTATGTCTTCCTCACTAAGCTTACTCATTTCTAGCTTTTGATTTAAAGTGAGAGATGTGCAACTTTCCCTTTTCCTTGAACACTGAGAGGTGTTATTAGTTGACCTAATTTCAGCATCGTTATGTCTCAGGGAATAGGGATGCCCAAGGAGAAGAGGAAACATGGGGGAATGGCCAGTGAGTGGGGCAGACAGAACACACACAGCAGTTATCAGTTAAGTTCGCTGTCTTATTTGGGTGCACGGTTTGTGATGCTCCAACACAATTACAGTGGTAACATCAAAGATCGCTCATCTCCAGATCACTGTAACAGATACAATAATAATGAAAAGTTTTAAATGCTGCAAGAATTACCAACATGTGACACAAGGACATGAAGTGAGCACATGCTATTGGAAAAATGGAGCCAATAGACTTGCTTGACAAAGGGTTGCCACAAACCTTCAATTTGTAAAAAATGCAGTATCTGTGAAGCACAATAAAATGAGGTATGTCTATACCAGTTTATGGGAGCTTCACTGGCTTCTCCACAGCTAGGGCACAGGCCCTGCACTTGCAAAGTTTGTGAGTGTCATTTTCTTTTCATAGTCGGGAAGAGAATAAACGTTCCATCTGTGGACCGGGTGGTCATGGTAAGAGTGGGCGCAGTAGCTAGTACCAGCGCATGCATCTTGGTGGCAGACGTGGTGCTGGCTCAGTACATATTCACCTTGAAGAGAAATATGGGACAAAAGACCAAGATCATCAAGATTCCTGCAACCAGGCCTTGTATCTCTGGATATTGTTTGCCATCCTAAGACAAAATCAAATACAGAAGAGCTCAGAATGCCTTAATGAAGATTAAATAACTAAGAAATGACTCATCACAATCTGCTGTATGTGTGCAAATGATGTCAGAATTCCAGATTTCCAGATAAGATCACTTTGCATAAAGGACTGTGGTTTTATCAAAGGAGGAGCTGCCAAACTTCAGATAACAATGGACTTTGATGTGATACTAAGTAGATTTCCTGCAAAAGGGAAAAGATGCCTAATGTGTCATAATATCATTGAAAATTATCAACCAGTCACAGGAGAATGTCAAAAAAGTTATTGCAACTAAAGGAAAAATATGATGCTATTGAAGTGGATTCTGTTCTTACCATTGAAGAACCCATAAAAGGGTGTGTGTATATATATATATATATGTGTATATCATAAAAGCTATAATAGTATGCTAACTTACATAGTTTCTTTGATGAACATGCTTTACCAAAAGCTAAATTTGAGAAAACTGTGGAAGAATCTGATGTTATGCTCAAGGAAGGATATAGGAATTTACTTGAGGAGCTCCAACAACATAGCATCCTTGTGTTCATATTCTCAGTGGTTATTGGTGCTGTTCTAGAGGAGGTTTTCAGTCAAGCTGATGTTTATCATCCAGATGTCACAGTAGTGTTCATTCATGGATTGTGATGAAAACGGATGCTCGAAGGATTTGAAGGAGAATTAACTCATGTACTTAACAAACACGATATTGCCTTGAAGTACACAAAATATTTCAATCAATTAGAAGACAATAGCAACAGAATTCTACTAAGAAACTCCCAAGGAGACTTAGAAAGGACAGATGGAATAATCAAACCTTCCCATTCTCAAGTTAGATATCTAAATTATAGAGTGAATAAGCTTTCAGCAAAGTATTGTTTTATCAAAAGATGAATCATTGGAAGTAGCCAACTCTGTCTTACAGGGAATTTTATAAACAAGCATTCTTCAGGCTGTTCTCTCCTGTGGAAGCAATTGATGCAAGAACTTTCATCTCTTCATCTTGCTGACTCTTATTTATAATAAGTTTTTGGTCTTGAAGTTTTTCCTTTACATATTTCATTATTTTCAGACATGTGGAATCTATCAGCCGGAAGCTCCATTTTCTTCACCTGTCTTACCTCTCTTGTCATTACATTTTTTAACAGATTTAAAAATTTTTTTTTAAAAATCTCATAAAGTCAAAATTAGAAAAATAACTCCCTACTTTTCCAAAATAGCCTTTGTAGTTTAATGTTATCAGGCATAAGTTTGAGGAGTCTTTTTATACTGGGAAAGTTCATAGAGGCCTAAAAAGAAGTTTTATGAAATGACCAAATAATCTGCATAATTTTAAGTATTGCCATGTTTGTAACATATAATTGTGCTGATGGTATCATCATCTCCTGAAACAGTGTTACATTTGATTATTTTATTTAGGGAAAATCAATATTGACCAGAAAATTCTGGGACTTTATTTGGTGAAAAAACTATTGGTGTCCACACGTCACTAATCATTACGAAATGGTCTATCCTGACTCACATAATAAACATGAAATGGAAAATCTTTTCTTTTTAATACCCATTTCTTTAAAGGGATAGCACTTACAACCATTTATACCTTAGCATAAATTAATTTATCTCATTCTTTCTTTCAAACATACTTTGAAGAGAGACAAAATAAAGACCTCAAGCTCTGAAAGATAAGCAGTTAAAGGAGACACTATATTGAGCAAAAAAAAAAAAAAAAACCTATAAAGTTATCCAGAACAAACTGCCTTATTCATAATTTTACCTAAATCCAGGCTTGGTCCTAATAGCTCTTTAATCATTTGTTGCTCTTTGTCAATCAAATTCCTGGCTAATGTCTTAACGATTAAAAATGGTCACTAAAAATGCTCAGTCTATCACCATCTATGGTCCTTGATATTCTGTCTGGAACAAATCATGTGTGCAGGAGCAAAGAGTTATATTGAAGATAAGAACATGTCCCTAACCTAGTCAGACTCAAAATATCTGTATATAAAACCACCCTTACCTCTGGGGTGGCCTCAAATGGAAGTAGCTATGACAAATTATCCTGTGAGCAAGCTCTAGAAAGCATTGATCACGCCTCTTCTGAAGGTCCTGATCACATACCTTTGTCAGTAGCTGCAGCTGCTGCTGACATCTAGGGAGAAACCGAGAAGGGGGATGGGGCAAGGGAGATGTGTGTGTGTGTGTGTGTGTGTGTGTGTGTGTGTGTGTATTTGTTTTGTTTTATTTTCATTTTCTTCATGTATTTTGGTCTTGACACACAAGAAAGCATTTAACTGGAAAAATCGTGTAAGCTAGCATTTTAAATAAATGGGTGTAGTATCTTTCTATTGATTGCAACCATCTACTACTATAGTTATTTTACTTTACATTGTGTTGCAAGCCTTTTATCAAATACAGATTTGTGGGGCCTACCAAGAAGTGGGTCTTTCTTGCCAGAGATGGGGCAACGAACAAAATGAGTTGATAGATCTATTTCAAAAGCCATGTGTGCTGCCTGAGTTTGTTGTCATCAACTCAAAGGAAAAGTCTGCCTCTAAATGCTTCAAAAGGACTCATCCAGCACCTAACAAAGCCTGTGAACATAGAGGCCTGACAATCCTGACACAGTTTAGTTTCCACAGTCGAGCAAGAATATCAGCTGTCCCATAAGTACAAACTATTTTCTTCCCTCATGCATGTTCTACCAAGGTCTTCAAATCCTCTTGGCACTTTTTCTTGACTAAAGGCCTCCATAACACACCTGGGCTTTCATTTTCTCCCATTCTTTTGGCTCATCTATAGGATGGGTATGAGAATAGTCAAAATATACTCTCTATCGCTGGAGGAACCTCTCCTAGTGTTTTTCTTCCATTTTTTTTTCCTGCTTCTAGATGGCTATAATTAAATGTCCCTATTAGAGACATCTGGGCCACAAGCATCCTCTCAACTCTCACTATTTGGGGACATTCTAGTGTACACTGAAGAATATTTCAGTGATCTTGCTTTAAGTATTCATTAATATCCTTTCATATAATTATTAAATTCAATTAACAGTCAAGAAGAGATAATAGAATAACTAGTCATATATAGATTGACTCTTTCTATTTCTTCCTCCTGTAGCAGTTTCATGGATACCCAGTGAAATGTTCAGTTCATCCCCCCCAGACACAGGCTCAACACTCTATGGTGAGTAGCTGTGGACATTTACAGACATGGAAGATAGCGATTTGCTTTATTTGGGCAGAGGTGGAAAAACAAGAACTGGTAAGAAGCCATTCCCAGATAGGTATTCAAAAGTGCACCTCGATGATGACACTACATGGAAACAAAATTCTTCTGAGCCATTCAAAGAAGATAAAGACTAAGTTTTAGATTTTTCTCTATTTTGTTTCAAAAGGAAATCTGCACGATAGCAGTTGCATCTATGAAAAATACATTTCAATTTTTAATTTTCTATTGGAAAATAGAATGATTAGTCAACATGGGTTTATCTAGTCTAATGCTACAAAGGGATTTTTATTAACCTTATCAAATACTTGGGGGTGAGGAGACTCAGTATTTTGGTCAGCTGAACCTCTGATAGCCTGAGAGAATAGTGGTATGGTTTCTCTATCCAGGACTCCATCTTATGGCATTTTCTCAGACCACTTAAGTTTCTAATGGAGATTCTTTAAAAGATATTGTTTTGTTGTTTGGAAGTGTGCGACTTCTTTTTTTCTTTAAACCAATAAGAAATTTCACTTCTTTAGTAGTTATTAGATCCCAGGATTCCAGCCTTGCTGTAAATTGGTCCATAGTAAACTTTACACACAATATTTTAGGGATATTCACACCAATTAAACTGAATTCCCTCTAACAGCACATGAAACCCAATCATGATTTTATACCACTTGATCACTTGAGATGGCTATTAGAATCAGTTCAGATACCCTTTCCATCCCTAGATGACGTCGTTACCAACACAACTACAGCATTTTCAGAAGTCCCCACAACTATCAATGGATCTACTAAAAAGAATCATGTCCACATCACTGGTGAGTCATTTGACATATTTTTTTGGATTTTATGTTTTGTTCAATCAACAAATATTTACAGCATACCTACCATTTACTAGGTACTGTGTTAGCTGTGGGTATATAGTGAAGACACTGCCTTCCTGAAAATTATAATCTATTAGAGATTATATATAGTAAATAAATAATCACACAATTAAATTTATTTATGACAAGTACTACAAGGAATTGCTAGAATCTAACAGAAAGACCTGATTTTAATTGAAGATCCAGAAAAGACTCTCTGAGGATATGATATTTAAATTAAAATCTGAGAAATGAATAAGAATTAGCCAGCTAAAAGGTAGCAAGAAACATTTTAGACCTGTGAAAATATAGTCTGAGAAAGAGACTCAGATTCATTGGAACAAAGAGTATACGTGTAATTCAACTAATAAAATTTTGTCGATGAAAAATATAGTCCCTTATTTTATATCATAAGAAAGCAAGGGATTCAACAAAGTTAGGACCCTCCCAGTGCAGGTCATAGTTGTAAGTTCACAGGCATAATCAACTCCAGGAGTGTTTACTTGGCTATTGAACTCTCCACCTGGGCACGTGCTTATTTCATATCAAAGGTCATTCCATCTTCACATCATTGCAGCACCATCCTGCATATATCATGGCAACAGAGCTGCAAACTGAGGCACTATCAATATTTTAAGGTATCAGTGCCTTAAAGAACTGTGTAATTTAGAGATGAGTCAAGATTTGAGCTTTGCTTTTGCACTAAGATATTCCTGAAGGCAATGGTCTCATTTTCTGTAATATATTTGGTTGGAAGATAATTTGTAGACATTTATGTAAGACCTACTTAAAACCTTTTGTTCTTTTATTTCTCTAAAACTTTGGAGGTAAAATGTTATATTCTACCATATTGCCAGTGTGGAGCCTGGTAAATTTTGACTTGACTAAAATAGGACTCAGTCCTGAGTTGACCATCTGTGCAATAGTTTCTTTTATGATCACGCTACTCTAGTGGTTTAAACTACTGTGAACTTTCCAGCCATCTGTATATACAAAGTACCACTTGGTTATGTGTTATATAGAACAACATGAGCTTCCAGGGAGTCCTCAGTGTCTGCTTCAACAGAGTTGAGGTAAAGTGAGCATCAGGAAGACCTTGAAGCCTGGATATGTGTTGTATGAAAAGGAAAAATCTTCAGCACTGCTAACCAATGCTAACATGATAACCCAGTGGTAGAATCCCAAATTCAAGTTCAGGTACCCAATGTGCAGCTAAAGCCAAATACTGTGACATCGCTGTTTGGAGATAAAGAAAGGTTTATTCAATTTGGCCAAAGTGAGAAGATAGGAGAGAAAATCTCTCGGATCTGCCTTGTCACAGAGATGAGGTAGTGAGCTTTTATGCAGGGTGGAGGTAAGGTAGGGGGAAGTCTGTGCTGCTTTTGGTCTCAGATAACACTTTGAATAACCAGACTTCCGGGCCTCCCCAGCTAGTTGCAACTTTTTCATGGGCATTCACTCCTTCTGCAAAACAAACACATAGATTCTTCTTGTGATCCTGGAGTTATCTATCTCTTCCTGCTTGACAAAGACACAGTGCATCTGCAGTTAATAATTGCTGTGAGAACAAGGGATGCTGGGCAGGAAGCAAGCAATTAACATGTGCCAACAACCAAGGGTCTAGTCCAATTTCACATTATTTCAGTCATTAAAAATACTTGGCTACTAAAATCTCAAGGGGTCCAGCTGCAACAACACATGGCTGCAGTCAAAACTACGTAAAACATAGAAAAGATTTAGTAGCTAATCTTAAGCTATTTTTTTGGAGTTAATAAAAAAAAGATTTGGTAACTAATATTTTAAATCCAGTTCTTCAGCATTAATTTTTTGAGATTTTGGTATATAAAAGCAGTGCAATAAAAACTGGGCAATAAAACAAATTAAAAACCTTGCATCTACCTACAAGCAGTTTACTATCTAGTTGAAACAATGACAGAAAACCCATCTAGATGACTTTTTTTTCCAAATGATCTAAGTAATCTAAGTATCTAAATATCTATTTATAATATATAAGGAATTCCACTGGAGTGTTGTTAGAAATAATAAAAGCCTGGAAACTACTTAACCATCTAACATTATGGACCAATTAAATAAACTGTGGTAAATCCACTGAACTATCCAGTCATTTAATAGAATGAGGTAAATCTCTATGCACGCTATGGAAAGTGCATCAAGAATGTTTTTAAGAAAAAGAAGCAAGGTTCAGAACAGTGTGTATAGTATACCCCATTTGTAATAAAAGAGATATATATTCATGACTCATATATATGCTTACATATCCATAGAAAATGTCTGATAGGATACATAATTAACTATTAAAATTTATGGCCTCTCATGTGGGTGACAAGGCAGAGACATGCTCCCAGAGTATGATTACAGCCAATGTGCACCCCCATGGCCCTTGGAGAAAATATGTTTCAGGTAGGAGAAATGGTTCAATTAATCCTGTTTTTCAAATGCCAAAGTTTGGCATTAAAGTTCATCTCTCTTTATGCCCTTTTCAGGTACTGTGGTTAATAAGCCCAAAGACGGAATGTCCTGGCCAGTGATTGTAGCAGCTTTACTCTTTCCCTGCATAGTATTGTTTGGTCTTGGAGTGAGAAAATGGTATCAATACCAAAAAGAAATGTGAGTATAATACTAAGATATGTAGAAACTTATCATCTTTCATTACAAAATATTTATCAGCATGATATATTACTACTATTTGGAACTCCACATAGTAATATTACTATGACTGTACTGATAAATTTTATCAGTAGTATTGCACTGATAAATATTTCTGTGAGGACATATGGCTCACAGAAGCTCAGAGAGGCTAGATAGCTTTCCCAGCATCACACAGCCGGGTTAAGTGCACAGCCCCTGACTCGGCATCCTCTCTGCATTGGCCTGGTCAGGCGGAAACACTCACCGGATGGAGCGAGTCCATGGGCATGAAATGGGAACCTCACCTCACCTGAGCTCAAAACTAAAATGGATTTTTTCTTTGAATCTTCATTATTGTTTCATTTTCATGCATCTTTGAATCACCTGGGCTCAGCTGGGCCTAGATGCTCAAGTGTGAAATTGAGTGAGAAAGGTAATTTTAAGAGATTTCCAGCTGCTTTTTACACAGTAGGCTTTTACTGCCTTTTGCCTTTTTCCCTGAGCAGAAAAGAAAGTAAGTTTTTGTGGGATTATCTTTTTTGCTTGTTTGTTTTACTGAAATATTGTCCAAAACTCTTCTCCAATCAGCAGTCTGAAATGGCATGTAAGGTTCAGCCCCACTTTTCCGACTTGCTATTTTGGATCAATCTGGATCAGGTCATGACTGGAGCAGACCCCAGTACACAGGAGCGGATCTTCCATGCATCTTACGACCAAGATCACACTGAGCATTGTGCCGTAGGAGCTTTCATAGAGAATCCTCGAAGACTCTATAACCACCTGCAGGGAGGGTTTCATGGTGAATAAAACACAAACGAGTAGTTAGAAATCCTGAGATCTTATCTAAGGACTACGTCTTAGCCACCACATGATTTTGAGAAATTCGTAACTTTTCTAAAAATCAAAAGTGAGAGTTTCTTACAATTGTATCCACCTCTTTATATATGTTAATTCTCCATTAAAGCATCCAAAAATTACATAATAGGGATTGAAGATCTTCATATTAAAACGAGCAAATGAGTATCTGAAAATCTGGATTGATTTTTTTAATTGTTCTGCATTCAAATGTCTGTGTCATATGGAGATGAGAAAAAACCCCCGATACACCACATTAAGATGCTATGGATTGCCAGGGCATGGAGATGTTTGAGTGATGTACATAAAACATACTCACAGATATATTTCTGTTTTCTGATATCAAGATAACTGGAGCATTTGTATAGCTAAGTCCCACACTAAGCTGGCTTCTTAATGCATTTCAGACAAAGAGATGAACTGTGCTAACATAAAATAGAGCTTCATACAAAGGTGGCTGCAAGAATGTTCACTGATTCGAAGAAAAGGAATTTAGGCATTATCCAGCCAGTACTCAGGGATTGAGGAAAACTTTACTTTCCACCTCTGTGGTATCCCCGCAGTACTCAACAAGTGTGTGGGTGAAGGTCAGGGGTAGGGTTAGCAAAGGGGCTATGTAAAAAGCTTTGGTCTTAAGTCCCAGAATTTTAAGATTTTGTCTCTGGAGAAATGTTTTAATCCACATAAGACAAACACTCCTTCTATTAGGAGGCAGTTGCCATGGAGAGTATCAGTGCTGGTCAATTGCTGGTCTGGTTCTCTTGAGTAAGAAGTTTAAAACCTCTGAGCCTCAGTTTCAGCTATAGAATGATGACAATAACACTCAGTTCCTAGACACAAAATAAACAATGTTATGATAAAAATGTTTTGCAAATTAGAGAAAGTACCATATAAATATTAATTAATAGTATGATCATGATATTCGAATGGCTGATAGCACTAACAAGCAAAGGGTTAAGCCAGCAAAAAAATTCTGAAAGAACTAAGAGGGTATGTCTCTTTCTCACCAATCTGTCTTCCCCTTAAAAAAAAAATGTGAAGAAATATGACTCCCTCACATTCTTAGCACTGATAGAGCAATGTTTTATTCCTAGCATGGAGAGACCCCCACCTTTCAAGCCACCACCACCTCCCATCAAGTACACCTGCATTCAAGACCCCATTGGAAGTGATCTGCCTTGTCATGAGATGGAGACGCTCTAGTCCTGTGAGGCTTTACCATACGGCAGAACTGTGCTGCAATTCTATTGAGAAGGCAGATACTGTGCTTTATTAATATAAGTTGCCTTCAGCCAAGTCTCTGCTGCAGCTGAAATGGATGTTACAAGTGAATGAACTGTCTTCTCAGCAATTTGCCCTCTTTCATCTGCATATGCCTGAAATTTAAACAAGAGTGAAAGAATATATCATGCTCACACCCAGTGCAAACTGTGGGGGTTTCCTAGATTATGTAAGAGGTGCATATTAGGCTGTTGTCGTTAAAAAATAAAGGGTGTTTTCATTTTTCACTTTAATTCTCTGATTGAGGAGACAACTATGGTTGCAAGCATATGCCCATACCAGATCCTCCACTTTTAAGGTCATCTGCCAATATTCTAAACTATTTGCCAAAATTATGACAATCTCAGAGTTTTATTGCATTCCTTAAGAAAATTGTAAGAAGAAACTGAAGAAGTTCTATTAAGAGTTCCAATAATGTGGAAGCATGGCTAGTCTTCGTATTGAAATTCTGTTGTTTATTTTCACTGAAGGAAAATAGAATAGCTTGCACAAGAGCCACATTCGCATCCTTCATCCTTCCTCCCATCGGGTTCAGACCAGGTTCCTGCCACATGGACAAGGATGCAGAGGGATCATAAAGTTAACTAGCCAACAACCAAGTAGCCTGTAGATATAAGACTTCACTGACCTCTAAAATAATATGAGCTAAGAGTGGTTTCATTCTCAGCTTTGCCTGTCTCAGTATGTGTGTGTGTGCATCACACTAGTACCAAGCTGTTATGTAAGTAAACAGGCAGCCTAACCCCAATTCAACCCATCTCATTTCAGTTATTCTCTTATTTATCTTGGGACTTTCCTGTTCATCCAACCTGCCTGTTTTGATCCGTTCTGAAACTGCTAAAGAGCCTCATACCAGACTAGCACTGATGAATTAACCCTCTCCTACCAATCTTTTGCAAAACAGCTTAAGCAGAATGTAGAAGTGACAGAGAAGAGACCTAGTGCCTGGGGTGCTCTGTATTCAGCAACAGTTTGTGAGTGAATAAGTGAATGATCCCTCTTGTCCCCCTAAACCTTCCCATGCTCCCTACCCCAGGAAGGAAGAACAGATGTTGTTGACAGATGTAATAACAGGCAAATTCTGTGTGGATTTTAGTCCCAGGAGGAACCTTTAGTTCATGTGCAGTATACTTATCCCTGATTGTACATGAGAATAACTTGGAGAGTTTGTCTTTTTTTTTTTAAATACAGTGGCTGTCCTGCTCCAGTTCAATTAAAGTGGAAGTCTCAGGAGTGAGGCACAGACATCAGCGCTCTCAGATGATTCATGTGTTCATCCAAAGTTGAGAACTGCTGAACCAGTGAAAGTTCCTTCTTATAGGCCAGAATCTTGGTTAGGTGCTTACGTCTTGTGGGGGCCAGCCTCCAATATGACCCACAAAGCTTCTTGCCTCCTGCTGTTCACACCCTCAACATTAAATATAGATTTTGTGTGATCCAGGGCCAAGATTAGGGTGAGGCAAGCAATGCACCTTGAGTACAAAATTTAAGGAGGTATCACCCTCAGAGTCATGTACTTGTACAATCTTGAGAGTGAGTGTCAGTCCCATCCCTGGTATAGCCAATAATATACTATGGAAATGACCAAACTGGATCATAAAATACACTGTAGCTTCCATTTTGATCTCTCTTTGTTCACTGGCTCTGGGGGAAGCCCACTGTCAGGCTGTGAGGATGCTCAGGCAGCCCTACTGAGAGGTCCACCTGCCGAGGAACTGAGGCCTTCTGCTAACAAGCATCAACTTGCCAGGCAGGTAAGCAAGCCGTCTTGGAAACAGATCATGCAGCCCCCAGTCAAGACTTCAGATAACTGCAGCCTCAGTTTATCTTTTGACTGGGACCTCACAAGAGCCAAAACCACCCACTTAAGTCTCTTCTAAATTTCTGACCCACAAATACTGTGAGATAATAAATGCTTATTGTTTAACACCACTGAGTTTGGGTATAATTTGTTACACTGCAATAGATAACTAATACAGCTTAATAAATGGAAAAATAAACTGTTTGCCTGCCTTAATTCTCATTAATTCCTCATTGGTTCTCAAGAAACAAAGACTAGCTTTGTATATATGATTGTGCCTTATGTATGTAGTTATTTTTATTTAATAAAACTTAATCATCAGTAATTTGTGTAAAAGGCATTGTGGTTTTACTTTACTGTTTCATTAGGAGACGTGAACACAGGTAGAGGCATTGAGGTAAAAAGTGGCAGAATTAGAGATGTTTAGATTGTTTCAGTAAAGGGAGAGACTTTTTACAGTACAACATAATTCCATGTAATTTTTCAATCTATCACATGACAGGTGTTTCACAATGTTTTTATATTAGCTCCTCTTTGAAGTACACTCTTTTAATCTTGTAAATAAGTTCTGGTCAGCACTTGTAAGTTCATCTACCACTTGAATAGAGCATCCATGGAGGATGCCCAGTCAGTGGGTCAGAGGAACTTTTCATAAACCTTCAACATAGAGGGACACCAGGTAGGTGCCTTTTAGATGGTTCTGTAAGCTTGACATCTTTCATGTGACTAAAATGATAGTTTCACCTGCACCTTAAAATATACACAAGTAAATTCATAGCACCTGTCTCAACCAGCAACCCCTCTGTCTAGAAGTGGATTTAGTTCTGTCCCGTAGGAGAAGTAGCAATACTAGACTTTAATCTCTAAGGTTTCTACATGTCATCACCACCTTCGTTTTCACTGAGAAGAACTCATACTTAAGTATTTTCATCACTCATTTCCAAAGCACTGGGGTTAGATAACATTGTTATTTAGAAATGTTCATTCCTTCACCTACCTGCACCCTGAGCACACCTTGACTTTTGGCTTGGCCATGAGACTTGTTTTGGGCAAGGGAATACCATGGGAATGACTAACTCAAGACTTGAAAAGTGCTCGTATGATTGGAGTCACTCTCTTGTTCTCTGCCGTTGTCATGAGAACATTTTCAGACTAGCCTACTAATGCCAAGAAGAAGATCAGAGTCTCATGGAGTAGAGTAGAACCAAGCCAGGCCCTTTCTAGATTAGCAGATCCTCAGCAGACCTCAACAGGGGCGTAAGTTCAATATTTTTGCATGTCACTGAAATTGTGATTATTATACAGCATTATTATAGCAATAGTTAACCTATACACATAGTTCAGAGGTAGGCACATTTTAGCTCATAGGCAAGTGTCTAGGCTGAGAGATAAAATGTGTGCTTTAGTACAAAAGGAGCTTTTCCTTTGGTTGCTATGACTTTTAAGTAAATAAGATATGATTGGCTTCACCAAATTAATTTTGCATTATAGGTCTTTAAAATCATAGAACATTTGACCAGGATGGGTATTAGAGGTTGTTTTACAAATAAGGAGTTAAAGGCTCTGTGAAACTGACTTGCCCAAGGTCACATGACTGGAAGTGGTAGAATCAAAATGATGATGCAGCTCTCTCATTTCCAGTCTAGGGTGTGATCAATCTCTAATTGCTTTGGAATCTTCTTTTGCTGTAGATAAGAGCTCTCTTGTGTGCATTTAAGTAAATATTGATTTTTTAATACTCAGGTAGTATATTCTAAATTTTGTGATAGAAAACAAAGAAAAGTAGAAATAATTGATCCCTGGGGATGGGATGGCCTAGAAAGTATGGGAAAAAAATGAAAAGATCAAGATCAGAAACTGGAAAGAAAGTTTACAGAAACTTACCAAGGCCAGAGATAGTGAAAAGTATGCTGTCTCAGAGGCTCTGAGCAGGGAAAAAGGTCTCGAGGGCACCTGACTTAGGAGAGTGGTTTTGGCTTGAACCTGAAGGTTGAATCTTCGGGAATACAGAGACTTTGTTCTCTCCGAGACAAGGGCTGAAATACACAGTCTAACTGAGTTTAGGACAACAACAATCATATGCCAACCAGCTAAAGGATGGGTGTTTAGCAGAGACAGCTAAAATAGTGAGTGAACGTTACCACCATGGGAAAAAGAGACATTGACTGGCACAAATGGGCTGTTGTTCTAGCGAGAGACATATGGTGAGATGGTGAGGGAAGGACAGTTTATTTCCCAACTCCTGCAATGGGGCATTTTTGGATTTCCTGGATTACTAACAAAGGGTCCATGCTGCATCCAGGAAGACTTGACCAGAGAGCAGGGGAATATGACCTTAGTCAAGGTCAGGGCTGGGGAACACTTTTAGAATTATTCTTAAACGCTGTCTAGTGCATCTGTGATAGTCTTGACATTAGTTCGGTACAAATTAACACAGGAATGGGAACAATAGAATCCAAATTTTTCTCCCCAGGCAGCATCTTTGTACCCTTCAATCTCTGTTACAGTCCTTGCCTGTTCTGCTCATTCTGATTCCTCATATTTTCTCAAAGGCTCTGTGGGATTGTGAACATAGGGAGGATACAGAGGAGATTAAAGGGGAAGAGCAACAAACTCAATATCATAACATAAAGAAGAGAATACGGATGGGGGCGCATCCAGCTATTCTTGCTAAGTGTCAGGAACTTGTGCACATTTGTCCTGAGTTTTGTCAGACTATTACTGTCCAAAGAAGACATATCAGCAAATAAAACTGACTACAATATTATAACATTCAGCTATCACCAGAAAATACTCAAAAGTTCTGGGAAGGCAGGATGGAGGGGATAGAATGAATAACAGTTACATGTATTCTGAAGAGAAATTTGATAGTGGACCTGATGACCTGAGAACCATGCACAAGAGTTAAACTCTATTCTGCGTTTGCTTCCTTCAAAATGTAAGTATTTGCTAACAATGAGTGGGAAGATGAACAGAGATCTGAGAATTCCATCTATGATACAACCATTTATGCATCACTAGTTTGTAATAGGCATAATTCCACTCTTATAGGTAATTGGGTTGTATTGGATTTTTTGCTACATATAAAGCTGTTGCACTGATTCAAAGGGACATGTTTTGATGACTAATAGATCTGAATCTAACATAATTATAAATAGGCATTGATTTTAATT